CCCCCCCCCCCAATTCAAGTTAACTCATGGTCCCCCCGCATCCCAGGAAGCTTTGCACCTCCTCTAGAACCTCCCCCCCCCCTTACAAGGTGGGCAGGCAAGCCTGTCCCCAAGCTATCTGCTGCAACCAAGCAGGGATGTGTGCTCTAGCACTCCCCAGCTTTTGGCTTGGGCCACTGCAGACATGTGGATACATTTCTGGAATCAAAAATGAATGTCTGTTCACTTGCTTATCAATCCAGTCTACATTGCATGAAAAGATTGAACTGATTCAGCCTCAGGCTTTTTCACTGTCTGTATTTAGCCCTGAAGTGTAATGTAGATGAGGCCTATGTGGTAAATTTGCTTATGACTGGTAGTGAATTGTATCACTGAACAGCCAAAAAGACAATAAAATCAAAGTTGTACTACGACTTAATCAGCAATTCTCTCAGGGCTACTGGATGGTATTTTATGCTTCAACTAACAGAAAGCGAATGTGGGAAAACATTCTGGCTATTAACTATCTTCCTCTTCTGAACCAATAATTACTGTCACATAGGATTGAGATTTCTTTTTCCATTTAAATTGTTAAAGTGCTACTTTTTATGTTTAAATTTGTGCAGATTAGTACCTACAGCTAGATTCAATCTTATACTGCAGCTCTGCTCATTGTGTGACAAGAAGGGTGAATAGGCAGCTGGTTCTGGCTCCCTGAATCTCAGGGCTAACCTGCAAGTCAAAGTTACGAAAGGGTAGCTATAAATTGTGCTACTTATTTGTAGTTCTTAATGGAACCTGGCAGAGAGAAGCTCTGCCCTAGAATAGTCACCCGCTATACTGAGGAAAGGTGGTAGAAATCATTTGCTGCTACACAAACACCTCCTGCACTCCTGTCCCAGTCTTGCCTAGGTGCCTATATATGGTGCAGATACCAATATGTCAAAGGAATCTCCCGCTGAATTTATATTTGAAGACTGCTGCAAAGGAATAATAACAACCTTCAGAATCTGACCCATATTATGAAGTTAAATCTTGATACCAATGAGGTTAAATAGGAGGTTTGCCTTTGACTTTAGTAGGGTCAGAATGTAATCTGAAATGTTGTGTGTACAAAGATATACTCATGTGTTAAAATGCCTTGAGCTGAAAAAGTAAATCTTGTTCATTTATACCCAATCCAATGTGTGCAACCTTCAATAACTTTGTATATTATTTTATAAAGAGGGACCTTATCATTAAATACCTAAAGAATATAAGGGGAATAAGGGCTTTCCCCATACAATAAAAATCTTAATATTTCTTGATGTTGAAATCCCTGCCATTTATTTGTTTGCAGGAAGCACTCAGTTATAATATTTGGTTTTCTCCTTTTTTGATTGTTTAGCTAAACAGAAAAGTCTACCAAAGTCATCCTGCAGTGTTTCCATAAAGCTATTCAAAGCATGAAAAAATATGCCAGAGATACTTTCCATTTCACCATATCACCCGCCAGCTGTCCAATAAAGTGAAAAATAAGATACATTTATGTTTCAAAACTCACAGGAAAGCCAAGACAGCAAATAAGACTCAATTTCCAAACACAGACTGAGGGCTGCAGGAAATATGACTATGAGCTTTACTATATTACAGCCCCCTGTGCATTTACTGTTCTGACATTTTCTTTTGGAGGATGTGTTTAATTAACATGCTTTTAATTGGTCGCAATTAAAATAGAATTTAAAAGACACTGAATGTATAGTCCACATGCTAGCCATTAAAATGTTTGGCAAAATGTGGATGCAGTGATAGCCTCAAATGTAATTTACCTTTTCTTTTCTTATGAAGAGTGTGATTAATTTTAAGCAGTAATTTACAACCCTTGTCACACAGTTCCAAGTTATCAAGCATGTATTTGCTAGAGTGCTGTCCCAGAAACAGGGCAGCCTGATAACCCAACACACAAAGAGAGGCAATTTGCATTTGACTTTGAGACAAAACTGACAGGTGAAATCTATATAAGGGTTGCTTCCCAGATTTAATTGTCACTGTCAAGAAGTCTAGCTGATTTAGGCCTTACATTCAGAATTAATTTGAGCCACAGGTTTCTGACTGGTGTTAAATTAGACCCTGGCTAATTTCACACTAGTCAAAAATCTGGTGTGAAATTAGCCGGGGTCTAATTTAACATAAGATCTTGCACCGGGGGAGCAATTCATATGCTTCAGTGTAACTTGAAAGCATTAGAGTCTCCATCCTATTACAATTTCTTTTTCTTTTTTTATAAGGTCATCTTTTATGAAACAGCACAAGACCGTGGAGCTCTAATACACTCTGCTTCCATTGAACTTCTCATTTTAATAATGCTCCTTAATGTAACAAGCAACTATAATATAATGAGAAAGTAGTATGCATTCTGTATTTAAAAGAAGCGATATTCTGATGATAATTACACTAAGTGCATGCAATAGATAAAACATAGTGTTCCTTAAATTCTTACTGACTTGCTTCTGTGGCTGTAACAGTTATGTTGTGCCAAGCAGTTATCTCTCGGTCCAGAGGCTTAGTTATAATGATTGTTCCATTTTGTGCATTGATGCTGAACAATCTCTTTAAAGACATGCCATGGACAATAGCATACCTGCACCAAAAAGTAAAGAAATTCCTTAATACTGAAATGTTCCATCTGAAAACAAGAACATATGAAGCTATTGTCAGCTGGGAAAACAGAGCTGTGCATAAATGCATGTAAAATGTATGCTGCCATAACTCAGAAATCATGAAAAATATACACTTATAAACATTTAAAATTCACTGCTGCCAAGATCAAAGCTCTTCTTTTTATAAAACTAAGTATGCCTCAGATCTATATTAATGTGAACTGAATCTAAAATGCATTATTCATTCTTATTTCTAAGTCAAGCTCACAGCAGGTGAATGACTTGGTTGAAAAGAAAATGCAAAAGTAACACTTGTGAAATGAATAACCCAGGCAACTAAGTAGAGGTATAATGGTAAATCTATTTTATCATTGCTGACTTGCCATGATGTTAAAGGAATGAACATTAGCCAAAAAAAGAAAGGCAGCTATATATAATAAAGGTGTCTCCTATCTGGGGGGAAAAGTCCAAAAGTGAGAAATGACTACAAATAAGCCAAATTCCAGGTTGCACTGTTACAGTCCTTACCAAAAATACCTGTCAATGCCATATTCATACATGTGCTCACAAAATTTCAGTGGATTGATAGTTACTTTCTAATCAGTAACCACATATAAGAAACTGAGAGAAGGCAATGATTGAAGCCTGAAGGTAAAGGTTAGAATGACAGGGACTTTTTATTTTTTTAAAAGCAAGTAAATAAAAATAACTGACTAGTTTTATAAGGCACAGTAGGATTTTATTTTATGGAAGAAAAACCTCTAAACCTCTGTTCATAAGTCCTGCATTCGTCCTGTTTGTAATACCCATATTTAATAATTTCCCTTTCTCCACTTTTCATTTCATTTGACAAAGACTTTCTATTATAAATTGTCATATTGGTCTCCTTTGATAGCTGAAATTAAATGCCAATGGTTGGATGGTCCTTTAACTTCTAATTTATAGATACCATTCAGCCTGTGTGAAAATCATCAAGGTAACAAATCAGGGAACAATCATAATATATGGGTGTCCATTCATTTCAGTTTAGCCAAAAGCTTGTCAGTTTATCTTGTATAAAGCCCTGTTTCAGGGATTTATAACTCAGATCATAAATATTTTTCATTCATCTGGATAACCTCCATGCAAACACAAAATGTGTTTGTTTATGATTTTATATGCTTTTCAAAGGGCGTTTCGGGAAAGATTTTAAAAATACTGTTTTTTAAAGTAAATATTGGTATTATGGAAGATATTCATAATAGTAATGAAGCCTGATTTCTCTAAGATAAGAAAATAGTATCCAGTTATACATTAATGTTTTAAAAATCAGATGCATTTACATCTTCTTTGCCCAGTAAATATTATATGTATGTAAATGCTTGTAAATGCTTTAAGAGCATCTTCCATTTTAAAGGAAGTCAAAGTGGCACAATGTACATGTCTAAGTGTTTTGCTTTATTGGGGTCATAAACACACTTTTACATCACAGCAGATATCTTAATGGAAATAATTTAATTCAGAAAAAGTGCATTTCACAAAAGTTTTAAATATTCCAAGCATGTATACTTCTGCAGCAGGTACAACAGTCCCGAGTAAAAGATAGTAAGATTTTAGAAATGTATATGCATTATATGCAATGTATATATTATGTCTGACATTTTATCTATTAATACGTTTTAAAGTAAAAAACAAATAAACTAATATTTAAAGTACTGGAAATATACAGTATATTGAATATTATTTGAAGCTCTAAGGATAGATAAAGTATATTATGTATTAAAACACTGCTACCTTAATTTATCCATAATGGATTCTTTCACATCACTCTTGTTTGGCTTATATTATAGGCTGTCTAAACTCATTTGTCTGATGAAGCTCCACTGCATCAAGATAGGTCATGGGCACTTAATCCCAGATCTAGTCCATAGAGCCATGTAATCAAGCCTACAGGACTCCCCAAGGGTCCAGCAGTTTGGTGGGGGGAGAATGATGGCAATTAATGCTGCCACCACTCCCCCACTGCCAAATTCTCATGCCCTACAGGCCAGATGACATAGCAGTGTTCATAGGATCCTTCCTGTTTATTGAGAGCTGGGCTGTGGCAGAGCCACTTGATTCAGTAAATTTGGGACCATCTGGGTAGGGGAAGAGAAGCCCAATTTTGAGTGCACAGGGCTGGGGCTGAGGCACAAGCAGAAAACCTAATCCAGCATCTGCAGGGTTGGGGCTGGGGCCATGACAAGGGAAGAGGGGCATGTGGGGCTGAGGCCAGCAGGGCCAGGGCTCACACTGAGTGCCCAATCCCATTCGTACTGGGGAGGGGTCCAGGGCTAGGTGATAAAGTCTAATCCAGTGCATATGGAGCCAGGGCTTGGGTTCAGGGTAGTAAGTCTAATCAAGAACATGCAGGACTGGTGATGGGGTGGCAATGCACAACCAGGTGTGTGTAGTGACAGGGCTGGGATAGGATGGCTGTATCTGGTACGGGGTTGGGACCACAACCACAATAAGACCTGTGGGACCAATGCACCAGATTGAGCCCCAGCCATGTGCATGCTGGATTGGGCCCACAGACTGGATTTGGCCTATCAACTCACCCCGCACCACTCCTCTGGCCCATGGGATATGAAGATTGGGCACCAATAAACTAGATGGATCTCAGATGTGAGATTGTCTGTGCTCAGCTCCCCCTGGACCCTACAACATAGCTCTGTTCTTCAGTGTTCCTTGATGAAAATTGTTGGAGTTTGCTAGCTGAGAAATGACTATGACTAGGGTGATGATACGTCCCAGTTTAGCTGGGACAATCCTGGATTTTGAAGGGCTGTCCTGGCCAGTTGGGGAAAATTAAAACAGGAGTCCCAGGCATAGGGCAGTCTGGTGGGGAGGTGGATCAGCATGATATGCCAGGCAGCTCTGCCTCCCTGCCAGACTGCATCCTCACCATCCAGCGGGCTCTGCCACCACTGCCTGCAGCAGCACCATTGACTTGGGGAGAGGGAGGGGACAGTGTCCCAGAAGTCCCAGTTGTCCTGGATTTTCTTATGGTCACCCTAACTGTGACCCATGGATCTGCAGCTATGTACAACAAAGGCCACCAGGCCTTGAACCTTTCATTCTGGCTACTGGACCACAGAACTGCTGGTGCTCCTTATCCTCCAGAAGACCACCATTTGATTCATTATCCTATCTATTGGCCACATGAAGAATGGTCATACAAAAATCTGTTTCCTTTGGGTTTGTCAAAATATGGCCCAAACTTGAGGGAAATGGAATTTTACTAATCCAGACTATTTTGCTTTGAGGATGTGAATGTGCATTATAGCCTGCTATAGTGTAGGTGTACTCAGTTATAATTAAAGTTACACCTCGTGAAGTGTCTTCTGCTAGATTTCACATCATTCCTCCGTGGCACATTTATTCACGTTTTACCCTCTGTACCTGATGGGACTGTTGGTATTGTCTGGATCGCTAGCATTTACAGCCCCTACAAAAGAGCCACTCTCAGACCCTTCAGCTATCTCCATCACATATTCCTGTGAGGTGAAAACTGGAGGTTCATCAGCATCTTCCACAGTGATCCTGACAAGGGTTGAGTCTTCAAATGGTCCCTCATTCAGAAAACGCTCATCAATGTGCCTGTTGATAACTTTTGCTTTAATGCTGTATTTTCTTTTGGTTTCATAATCCACTTTCTGTAGAGAAACAAAGTAGGATGTGGATTTTTTCTTATCTTAGCATTTGAAAATTAATAGATTAATGATTGGTGTAAGATTAAAGACTAGTAATAGTTGTACGTAACTTTTGGGAATGTTTTAAAAGTGATTATTTCCAAGATTCCTTTTTTAACTGTAAAAACACTTTAAGTAATCATCTTAGCCTTCACTATTAAGAGTTTAGAAAATATTACTTTTAAAAAGCAAACAATTCTGTTATGTCCTTGTCTCACCACCCAATCTGAGCCCCCCCCCCCAAAAAAACAACAACAACAAAGGAAAACAAAACAAAACCAATAAAAATTTAATTTACCACCAGGTTATTTTTAGGTAGGTGTTGTTAATAAATAATACAGCAGAAATATTCAGGTTGTGCCTTCCTTTATTTGAAAAAAATTACAAAATTGAGGAAAACTAGCAAAATGCATGGTGAATTTCAGGATGTGGTAAAGAGAGATGTGGTGTCTCTCCCCCTCTGACCATCAGGGGATGGGAGCAAGGCATGGCTGCAGGTCTTGGACTGGTGGGGGACCGGACCAGACTGGAAGTGGGGAAAGAAAGTGTACAAAGAAGGAAATCTGCTTACCACTACTCTCCTTGGCTGACTCAGGGGTGGGGAAAGCCCCAGAGCTACTCCAGACAGTGGTTGTGGGGAGTAGCTGTACAAGGTGCTAGGCTTGGCTGGGGTCAACAGCAACAAGCAGGTTCTTCCTTCCAGTGCTTGACCAGGCCCCATTCTGAGGTGTCCTCCACTGGCCAGGTGAAGGTGCAGAAAGAAGAACCTCTGCACCTGCTGCTGTCATTGTTCCTAACCAAGCTAAGCTCCTCAAGCAATCATTCCCCATAGTCCCTGGCTTGAGCAGGGTAGGAGCAATTCTAGGGGTCCTCATATGACTGCTTCAACCAAGGACAGGGTTGGGTAGGCTTCTCTTTCCAGCACCTACTCTTGGCCAATGGGTGACACAGGTGCAGTGGCAGGAAGCAGATGCAGAAAGAGGAAACTTGCTCCTTGCTTCACTTATCCCCTGCAGAGCCTGGCACCCTGTATAGCTTCAGCCCATGGCTGGAGCATGGGAAGAGCAGCTCTGGAACTTCCATTATGTCTGAGTCAGCTGGGGAAAGTGCTGGCTGCAGCAGCAGAAGGATGGATATATCCACATTCTCACCCCCCACCCCCAGCCTCCACCATGGATCCGTCCCTAGCAACATTAGCTTCTATAATCTGCAATATTTCACTGAAGTGCTGACTTAGTCTAAATAAATACCCTTTTTTTTCTCTGTAGGTCTATGATACAACTTTTATTTTTAACTTTCCATGACTTGGAAATAGACTGAATGAAATAATTTACTTTCTGTCTTTTTCCTTCCTGGCAAGGTTTAGAGTGGAATTCTGTCATCAATTTAGGTCCAGGGAAAGAAAAAGCAGTCTTCCTCCCTCTGGGAGTAATAAAATGGGATAGGTTTCATTGTAAGCAATGACTTCTGAGCATGTTTTCACCAAATATATCATTTTTATTTATGCACCGTGGCGTGTTCTATCTTAAGATGTTAATATGTTTTGCCACCAGTGAATTAAATGTATGAATGACTCTCTGAAGAAGAGAAATAATCATCTGCCCATTTTACAAATGTCAAACTGAAGCAGAGGCTAAGACATATTATCACAATCATATAAGGAGTCTGTTGAAAAACTGAGAACTGAATCCAGATAGCTTAAGTGCTAACACTGGGTTTTAGCCATAAGCAAGCAAGCAAACCAAATAACAAACATACTTTCTAAACTATCCAACACTATTCCAGAACCTATTTTTAGTCATATCATTAGTGGCTAAGGAAGAAAGAAATAGTAGTATAGAAACAGTTGCATGCGTTTTTTTTGACTTTTCAAAAATTTTTAGTGACACGTCTCATTTTAGTAGGTTTTTTATGCCTCACCTTTTTTAATATAACAACTCCTTCTTGGGTTTCATTATCTGTAATGATGTCAAAAACATAGGAGGCCTCTCCTTCAATGACATAATTCATGGCTGCATTTTCCCCTATGTCACTGTCATCTGCCATGATTTTGCCTATGGTAGTGCCCACTGGTGCAGCTTCAGAAACAGTCATATGGTACAGTGCTTAAAGAAACAAAAAGTTACAATCACAGTAAACTTTGTCAATGATCGGTCTTAACCCAAAATGTTAACATGCAACATATGGGCTAGAGCAGGGTTGCTCAACCTCTGGCCTGTGAGCCACATCTGGCCCATGGAGCCAGGTGATTTGGTCCACTGCACCCCCCAGGGGGCCAACAATTTGGTGACAGGAGAATGGTGGTAGCATCAATCTTTTAAATGCCAATTTTCTGAACATGTGTGAAGCCCAATGAGCCAGATATCATAGCTCTATACAATAGATTAGGTATATGAGGCTGAGCCAAGATAGCGCAGGGCCCAATATGGATACACCAAGCTAGGGTGACATGGAAGCGGTTCTTGGTGTGCAGGGCCTGATTTGGGCACATGGGGCCCTGCACTACTCGTCTGCCTCATTGGACTGAAAGGTTGAGCCCACTGGGCTAGGGGACAGCAGGCATCCTTAAGACAGACTGCTGAAGAAAATGCATATGCTCGATAACACATGGGAAAACTGTTCCCTGAGACTCCTATTGCAGTGTTCAAACTGAAGCCGAGTTTTCCTTGTTCCTATGTAAAGGCAGTAGGACTAGCATTCTACGACATTGCAAGGGAAGTCAAATAAGAGTAGGGCAGGGGTGCTCAATCCTTGGTCTGAGGCCAGATCCAGTCCATGGAGCCATGTCATGCTTCCTGCCCAGCTCCCAATGGGTCCAAAAATGTGTTGGTGGGGGACTGATGGTGGCACTAATTGCCAATCCCCTGCTGCCACATTTCCAGATCCATGGGGAGCCCAGAGGACTGGATAGCTTGGCCCTGTGAGCTAGATGGGGTGCTGAAGGTAGAGCTGAGGTGGCACCAGGCCTGATCTGGGCATGCCAGGTCAGGGTGGCATGGGGCCTGGTCCTGGCAAGCAAGACTGAACACTGCACACCAACACAACAAAAGATCTAACATACAGAGCAGTTCCACACCATTCATCTGGCCCATGAGGCCAAAAGATTTGGTACCAGTGCAGTAGGGAATGCAGCCAGAGGTTGGTCTCCACTGCCTTTTTCACTGTTAGTGTGTGGGACATAATGAGGAAGAGAAGAGGAAGTCCAATTTTACTGAAAAGTTTGGTTATAAATCTAAAATAATTAGGCTGTATGAATCTACCACAAATCTATAATGTGCAATATCATTAGTAGTTAGTGTAGTTAAATATATTTAAGTCAAAACTATTTCCTACCCACCACTTCATTCTGAAATCATTTGTTTTCTACTCTTTTAAAATTATAATTCATTTCAAAGGAATGAACCCACAAGTATCAGAAGCAAGACATGCGAAACATTCTCTCTTTATATAGACACATGCGCATGTGGAATCATACAAACTTTCCCTAGGAATAATACCATTAAAATGTGCATTTCTGTATTAAGCAACATTTTTCCCCCCTGAGTATGTACTAGAAAGCAAGGCAATGCAGCGGTGCTTCCCATTTAATAAGTTTAAAAAGGACTTAGAAAAATATAACTTTACAGTTGTCAATATATCAACTTAATAAAGAAAAAGTATTCTGTACATTTCAGTGAAAAAATACTTTATTTAGGTATTCCTAAAATTGGTACTTCTTATGCCAAAGTAATAATGTAACCTTGAACTCACAGCTTTTTAATAGGAGCTACTTTTTGAAGAAAAATTCTTAGTTTATTAATCTTTCATTTAAATATCTGACATATTAGGTAAAATATAGACCTGATCTAAATTGTAGTGGTTTTACTCCTGTTTTTAATTTTTCCCCAGTTAGTTAAAATTCCCCCACCTTAGTTAAAATCCCTGGCCTCTACTCACTATGTTGAAATTTAGGGGCATTGTCATTGATGTCAGAGAGGTTGATAGTTACAGTTGCTGTTTCTGAAAATCCACCCATTTGCCCAATCAGATCTTTGGCTTGGATGATGACAAAGTACTTCTCCTGAGTTTCTCTATCTGTTTCAGAAGAAATTCTAATGACTCCTGAAAGATACAATAATCAACACTTACTTAAGTATACATTTCCCCCCGTATTCCTTAGCTATGAATTAAATGCAAAATCAGGTTCAGTATTTTAATGTACAAATTGATTAGACACAAAGCACATGATACTCCATGTATGGCTGCTGGCCCCAGCCTCCCCTACCCCACCCAGGGCAACTTGCAGTGCTCCAAAGCGCACATGCAGAATGTTCTCCAGGGACACCTAGCAGCAGTATAAATATGTGCTGCTGCTAGCTGTCCCCAGAAATGCATGTTCCTGCTCATAGAGTTGTGCCCAGTGGTTCCAAATAACCCCGAAAGACCTGATTCAGAAATAATCCAATTAATGGGTGGTTTTCCCTTGAATGAAATAGGATCGGCCCTAAATTTGAAGACATTCAAATACCAGTTGTAGACAACATTATAGGCCAATGACATAAGGAGGTAGGATGATGAGTTCATTTGAGAAAATTATATTTGTCCTTGTCCTGAGAAAAAAAGATGACTGTTTATTCAAATCTGTCACTGGCACCTAGATATTTTACGTTCATGAATAAATGTCAGGTATACATAACAATACCTGTTTTTGGCTCCACAGAGAAATAGGGCTGCCCTTGAATTATACTATAAAGCAGACGTGCATTGTATCCATAGTAAGGATCATCTCCATCTGTGGCTGTTACCTGTATAACGGAAGTACCTGAAAAGCAAATGCATATAAATAAGGAGTTCATACAAATGAACTAATAAACCTATCTTGGATTTTAACCATTATTAAATTATTTCTCTTTTGCTCAGTTGTATACAGTTTTCCTTTTATTTGCTTAATTTAGTATATATTATTTCTTCATTACACAGAGCACCTTTCTTAAAATCATGTCAAGTGTCTAATTATTGATAGGAGGCAAATTTTGTATCTTGCAAAAATAGGCACAGAAACAGGAAAAAGAAAATTACTTTCTCCTCTTTAATTTAGATTAAACCAAACACTATCTCGTGGATTTTAATGGAATTATTATTTAACTGTAAGTACTGTTTTTTCTCACTGGCTTTTCTAATTTATGTTATACAAATAGGAAACTAAGAGATTTCCACCTTGAATATGCTTTAAGATACTTTATTAAAGTTCTCCATATGACAACAACAAAAAAAGTCTGTATCAACAGCAGGCTTGAAGCATGGTTGAAAGAAATAAACTGTTAACAAGTTAACAAGCCAGGAAATACAAGAAAATTTTGATAGCAGTTTTTTGTATATTCTTGGTCTTTTTATGAGCTGTCCCTACTGCAAAAGAAATAGCAAAATCAATCTGCAGAACATAATTTCATCTTTAATTGGGAGTTGGTTATGTCCTAGATCTAAAATTGGCAGGATCCTCCTGGAGCTGTCAATGAGGGTATCTTTGCAAAGGGAATATTTCTCAACAGAATTATTTTATAATGATGACTTTAACATTATTTCTCACCTGCCTCATGTAAGGAACAACAGGAGAAAGAGCACCTTCTTACGACTTTCCAACATGAACACATTATTACCTATCATAACTAAAATGGGACAATTACATTTTGAGGTGATAGTAATTTTGATAAATGAGGGAAAATATTTTTGATTTTTTCTGAAATCTTTGGCAAACCCAAAAGCTGAAATAAAATATTCTTTCGAATGAAATATTTGTGGTGAGCTTTTGTAAAAAATGTTTTAAAATAAAGTTGAAGTAAATTTTACAATGAAATATCATTTTGAATTGAAGAAATGAAATGTTTTGGTTTCTTTAGAAGATTTATATTAAACTGGTTTGGTGAAGTTGACCTGAAGTCATGACATGTTTCAGTCAACCTGAGTCTTCATTTTGAAATAAAAAATATTTGGACAAAAATTCTCCAGAGATTTGGGGGCCCTGGTTTAAAATGCACTATGTTCTCTAAATATGTTGCTTAAATAAACACTGCTCTCTTGATGTTAAAACATCTATTAGAAATTTATCAGAGTTGTGGCAGGGTACCTTTGGTGCCTGTCACTTTAAAGGCTTGAGCAGACAGAAGAGCAGCCTGCAGGTGACAGCAGTGCCAATCACAGAGAGTCACATGGCCATCAGGAGGCTACCTGATTGGAGGAGGGCCTGGATGCTGGAAAATAAAAGCAGGCCCTGAGCGGTAAAACTGGCAGTTGATGCAGGGAGCTGAAGGAACAACATCTCCTGGCCAGAATACTGCTGCTTCCAGAACACCTGGAGGGCAAGGGTAGAAACTATGGGGATGGATGAGGTTCCTGGTCCTAGGGAGTGACCTAAAACTATACACTGCTGGGGTTGGAAGGTGTGATAGGGCTGGTTGTGGCATGGCATTTTCCAGGAAATGCCACACCTGTGCCTCCTCAGTGAAAGGCAAGTGTGGAGTGCCAGAAAGCCTTAGCCCCCACTGCTTTCAGGTACCCTATGGAGCGCAAAGGCTAGGGGAGCATACCCTGACAGAAAAGCACAGGGGCCCAGGTGCATTGAGTGAGGCCTGAGGTGGGGTCCAGGCCCTTTGAGTGGGGCCTGGGACAGGGCTGAGGTCCACCTACAGGGACCAGAGGCTTGGGGGGGCATAAGGCCCAGAAGCCACAGTGAGGGGATGCAATAGTGGTCCCAGTGAGGGGGTGTAGTGAAATCTGGCAGCCGTGTAGAGTAGGGTTCTAGGGGGACTGACGGACTGCACATTACCTGACCAAAGTAGTTGCAGTTGAGACCCCAGTGAGGGGGCATGTATGCCAGGCACACTTAAGGATGCCTGAGGTCAAGTTGGGATAGAGGCCAACTGTGGCTCAGTTAAAAGGGCCGGGGGAGTAATAGTGGATAGTAATTTGGATACAATCTATGAGGCATGGAACATGCTAAAGGGGAGGTTTGGAGCTGTGTATCGCACCCTTGGCATTAGGGTATTAAATGGGTAGCCTCCTGCCTAAGAAACATCAATTCGATTACATCAAAGGCATAGCAGGAGTTAGGTAGGGCAGACTGCCCTAGACATGTGGATGGACTGACACTATGATCGGCTTTGAGATGGCCCCCTGTCACAAGAGTAAAGACTCCTTCTATAGCTTGACTGGTCTGGAGGAAATAGATATTCATTTGCCTTTCACTTTAAGTGTGTCTGGAACAAAGGCAGAATACAAACCTCAGAACGTTACTTTAATATCAGGCTACTGTTACATACATCTATCAGTAAAGATACATTTAATGTAAATTGACAGATTATAATCAATCATTATAAAATTATAAAGTTTCCAAAGCAACAAAGTGTATTTTTCAAATAGGACTAAAGAGTAAAGAAAACATGGGCACTAAACTCAACTCAAAACAAAGTGTTGTCTAGAAACTAAAGGTCGCCAGAGATCTGTTCAAGTTAGCTACTCCAAGTCATATGACAATCACCCTAAGTAATATAATGAAAATAATTCATTCCTTTTGAAGTAATTACATGATAATGTTGAAGAAAGCTACCACTTTGGATAATCCAATTGATAGAAATGTGACTGATGCTATCTCTGAGACAGGAACAAAACTGCAATCAGTAAAATTCAAATATGTGCCATTTTATGGGATTTTATTTAACAGATCAGGGATTTAAATTCATAGAAAAATAGGTTATTTACCTGACTGTGATATTGATGTTAACGCCTTATGGGCCTTATTTTAGTTAAATTCCTGTGGGCGTATCTACATGAGATGTTATGTCGTATACTGCCAGCACTCCTCAGTAACAACCGCACAGTCAGGGGCATGTGTAGATGTGTTCTGTTTTACATTCTATGAATGGTGCTGGAAATTAACATCTGAAGTTGTAATAAAGTATGTTATCCTTGTGGCAAGCTCCCTTTGGTTGCTTATTGGCTTTTGTAGGGTGTGGTTTAAGAGACATTCAGGTGGTTTTAAATAAGCCCAGAAGCTGGGTACAATAGCAAAAGTAAAAAAGTAGTAGAAATCCAGGAAAAAGAAAACAGGCGCAAGGGAGGAGCAAAAGCTACTCTCCAGCCTGAACCTCAAATTTTGAATATAATGTGAATGTGAAAGAATTTGATTTCTTTTGGGGAAAATTGGCTTCTCAGGTTTCCTGGGAATGGTAATCTTGCAATCCTGATAGTAACTACTGAATTAAATATTAACTGAGTGCTAAGTGGCAGGGCACTATCATCTCATGACTATATCTAAAGGTACTTTCCTTCCCAGTTTTGAAATTCATACCCCAAATGAAAGCTATTTCTTTATGAACTTTAACCCATAGTAAGAAAAGCAAACAGTTGCCTGCATGTAACCATGGTTCAATAAACACATTGACCTAGGCAGTTAGGCAACAATTATAAAATGCTGCAACTACTAATATTACGTTTTTAACGTGAAAACAAGTAAAAAGGATTTCTTTGCTTAGGGAAAAACTAAAAGAGCACATAAAGAGACATACCGATTAAATTACACATTTGTAAGATGTTTCCTGATGTTACACAACTGAAATGGTCTAATGGCTATTGCTCAGAATTATGATACCATTTATGAGACTTATCATTTATGTGAAAATAGATATATTTAAAGGACAATGGCCCTGACCTTGGGATGCTGAAGACTAACATTAACTGAATATGCTCGTAGTCTTCGAACATTGTCCAAAGTGCAGTTCTGATAGGCATTTCAACATCAAAAATGTATTTTATGTTCTCAGAAACTATTGCTTCTGCATAATAAATTTGTTTTATGCCACAGCAGAATCTAACTTGGAGAAACTGCTTTTTTCCCACCTGACTGCCATTTCAGATTTCCTTTTTGCTTTTGTAGCCTTAGTTTTGAACTATGATGTAAAACATTACTGTATCATTTACATATTGCAGCACATTAGATAAGCTACTGGAGAATTATATGGGACATATGTATTCATTTTTCTAACTGGGGCCTCAAATGTATGAAAATGTTAAGTACAGATGTATCATTGCAGGTGACTTTTAATCACTCTATCAAATATACTACGTTTGTAGAAATGTAACTGCTATATGTGAGGAACTTTATGTAAAATCATACCAAATGCCTGAGGGAAAACCATAGTCTTGTACTCCCAGAAGAGTCCATTTACTGATACACTTTTCATTTACTATGGCACTTGCATAAAATTCAAATGATGAAAATATGGGCAAGCTGTGAAAGCATACTAAAATTTATGCAAATGTGTAGTCATATTAATATAGATGTTGATACTTTAACCTAACTTTGGGTTAATTTTGTAGGGGCCAGATTTTGTGTGTGTACTAGGGGAAGTAATGTGTGATTGCCTAGGCATCATTTCTCAGCTTATTCTCCTTGCTACATGCATAATATCTGCTTATAGATAACAGTTTTCCCCAAAGCTATATGCTCACTAGGTGATGACAACATCTGAAGGTTCAGAGATTGGTTGTTGATGTCTCACACATTTCTGGCATGGAGCAAGGGGGAAAGCAAAAAAATATTCCTAGGGAAATTCTCATCTGAAGTAATCCTAGGCTAGAAGAGATAAGCAAACGAATATCCTTAGCTCAACAGACAGGCAATGGATGCCAAATATTTCTGTTGTTCCCTATGTTATTGGGCTAGTAGGTTAGTATACCCACCTTCAAGACTGATGTTTTTTAATATGACAAAATAGATTCAGATCCTCAGATATGCTTGCTGTACCCTGCTGTCAGGTGCACATGCTAAAAAGTGAGGCACAGGGTAAGCTCTGTGCAAAGTCTTGTGTTGTTTTGGCTAGACTGCTTCCAGTTCCCTAGCTGACTCATTTGAAGCAAGACTGGTTATCTCTGCACTCAGATACAGTCTTTACTGTCAATATAACTAGTATAAAAAGTGGAAGGCCATACCATAACTGGGTGTAAAAGAAACAAAGGGGATCAGTGGGGTATAAACATTGATGTGACCATATATCATCAGTGCCCCACAGTTTCCCACAGCACTATAGTGAAGGCAGGGGAAGCTGATACATGTGGGTGTCCCAAAAAACTGCAGGATTTGACCATGATTCAAATACATGACTGGATGATCAGAAGGTCATCAATTCTATTGCTTCTGCAAGCTCAACAACCTGTCTCTACAAAGAAAGCATACAGGGAATTTTGATTCTTTTTAATTCTCATCATGCTCATTCTGGTTACTTCTGGTATGTGTGTGATATATAATGTGTACGTGCACACACAGGCACACATGCATATATGTTTTCTTTTTTCCTAAAATGTTCTTCTAAGATTATATGAGAGATACTTGTATTCAGTAATAACACTGGGAAATTTTATATATACTGTATTATATGTATATTAATATATAATATATAACTATATAAACATATATAAATAAATATTATAAATATAATATATCTATATAAAATTTCCCAGCGTTATTACTGAATGCAAGTATCTCTCATATAATCTTAGTGGAGTATCTTAGGAAAAAAAGAAAACTTTCATTGCTTTAATTAATCTTAAACTAGAAGTCCAGGATGTATTAGAAATGAAAATACATAGTAGATGTCTCGGGGGATTAGAACAGGTTTTTGAGTTTTTAATTTTTAGCTTGTCAGATTATATCTGGCTCAGGTCAGTAGTGACTGACTGCTTATTGATGATTTCAGATAAGTTTCTAGGGAACAAGTGTCTACATAGAAGAACTACCTCTACAATTGGCCTTAACTGGTATCCTTGTTAGTACCAAGAGGCCAAGTTTATTCCCTTGGGGACAAAACTACATTGTTACCCTTAAAGGTTGAGGCTTATTGGGAGGGAAGCTTGCAGGACTAAATCCATCTGTAGGTTACTGAAAAATGATATGATTGTGTCATATCCTCAGGATGTGTTAATGCTGTTTTATAGAGAAAGTACCACTTCCTCCTAGGTTTATGCCTGCCTTCCAGAAAAACTAAAGAGGGCATATAGAAGGGAGAGAGACCCTGCAGGGACAAAAAAAGGCTGCCAAAGTAGGAAGTCATGACAGTGGAGGTCCCAGCCTATACAGATGATCTTAATTAATAAAAGCTGGGTATCACCTGAGTGTCTGGGAGACAGACAGATTAAATAGCTCTCCCCAGTAGTTTCAGTTGTTGGTGGTAAAGTGTCTTCTAGAGCAATGGATGTAGAAAGAAGCTGCTCACCAAGTGACACTGCAGTGCCCGCCCACTAGCCCCCCCCATTAACCCAGCCCCCTCCA